GACCTAGAGCTGCAGAAGCTCCCTGGGTCTCACTTTGTGGAGGGAGATAGTAAACGAGGCCAGATTGAAAAAAAAAGCAGCATTAAAATTAAGATGCATCCATTGTAAATACAGAAGGTGGCACATACCAAGTGGGGAGGTTTTGTTCTGTATTAAATCAACCCAAAAGAAATCTGCAAACCTGGGATGTGGAAAGATGCAGACACCGTCCATGGGAAAGCGCGACAGAATGGAGTGGTAAAGAGCGTGTTCCTCTCTGTCCCCAGATCATCTCCCTAAAATCCAGCTTCCATTAGCCCTCGTGATCTTTACAGCCCCCAGATACACAAAGTGGCAGGAGGGCAGGGGGGACGTGAAGAGCCTCCTGTACATAATGGATATGAGCTTTGTCTTCCCAGCAGGAAATATAAAGAGAACTGCATCCACACACTTTGACCCCATCACTCACTCAGCTCGCCGCTCTTCCTGGCAAGCAGGAGGACTATGAAACTGAGCAGCAAAGTTATTAACCTACTTTCCAGCAGGAACTGCGGCGTGAAAAATCCCCCTCATAACCAAACCTCCTGCTGTCGAGCCAGCCATTAAATACGCACTCTGAAAACAAAGGTGTTACCTTAGAGAAAACACCTCCGAGGCCAATAAGCTAAACCAGACACACCTGTCAGACGCGTACGAATTAGCCTTAGCAGAGAGGTCGCTGGGAATAAGCAGTGAATACTAAGCACAGACCACTGAACCGAAAGACACTGAAAAATACTGCTTCCCCAACAGCCACCGTATAGCTGTGATGAGTCTGGAGTAGCTGCAGGCTCCCTCCCTCCCAATACCTGGTACCCTCCTGTGCCAGCAACGCCTCTCACAGAAGCTGACCAGACGTCATCATGCCAGAAGGGCATTTGGGCCCAGATCCTCAAAGGTATTTAGGCTCCAAACTTCCACTGGCGGAAGGATCTGTGAGGATCCAGGCCTTAGTCACTACAGATGTGGGCTGGAAGTAAACTTTGGCTTAGAGACAAAAGACTGTAGTTCCCATTACCAAGTCGCAGTGCGGGAGGTTTAGGTTGGATATTAGGAAACACTATTTCACTAGGAGGGTGGTGAAGCATTGGAATGGGTTACCTAGGGAGGTGGTGGAATCTCCTTCCTTAGAGGTTTTTAAGGTCAGGCTTGACAAAGCCCTGGCTGGGATGATTTAGTTGGGGATTGGTCCTGCTTTGAGTAGGGGATTGGACTAGATGACCTCCTGAGGGTCCCTTCCAACCCTGATATTCTATGATTCTATGACCAGTCCTTTGAACTAGCTAGTCCCCTGGGTAATGCATATCTCCTGGGCCTAAGACTTTGCACTATAATCCTCCTTCCGGGTGCACAGGTAACTCCCATTAATGCGCTGAGCAGAGAATATGCTCCTTTCTTTGCAGCATTCAAATGATCAGAAGCTGACATTGCTTCATGTGCCATATAATGCTACTGGCTTGTGACTAAAAATGCTTTAAGAACGCTGTGCTGTGCTGTGCCTTAAGGTGGTATACATTTCCCGTTCATCTGACAGATTGAAACAAAAGAAGCAATTCGTGAAGGTGGAGGGACTAGAGATAACACTAGTTGTTCCCTTAAAATACAATTCTTAAAATTAGAAATTTCAATAAAGAAAAGAATCATAGAAATGCTATTATGCTAAGATTATTTTTGCAAAGAATTTAATCAACACGAGATGCAATGGATCAGATCCTGAGATGGTGTACATGGAAGTCAACGGAGCGAAGCCAATTTACACCAGCTGAGGATCTCGTCTGATATATGGGGAAGAGTACGGGGAGGCAAGAGGGCATTTATGGTGCATATGTTCCTTAATTATTTGTAATGTTACGGTAAGGCTCACAGAGTGATTACTCTGCCTATGAAGCCAGCTTGCTGTAGACACAGTGTTGCTTTCCAGTGGGCTACATACCGATATCTTGGTGAATATATAGAGAATGAGGGACAGTACGGACATGTAGATTTGAATCCTCTGTCCTCCAAATCTCTTCTTCAGGTACTCGGGCATTGTGACAACTCCTGCAGCAATGTAAACAGGCACAAAAATCCAGCCGAGGGCCAGTAGCGCCCAGGTAGCCTGGCAATGGGGAGGAAGGGAAAGAAAAGGCCATAATTAAACACATGCGATAGACTCTGCACCATGCAAATTCTCTGAACATGCCATGGGCAGTATCAGACAGCGTGGGAACGTGGCATCTCTAAAGCAAAGTATTGCTCTGCCATACAGACAGGAAAATCCTGGGACTTGGGGGTTATGGTTGGAAGACAAGGTGGTAGATGGGTGAATGAGAACAGGATGAACACTCCTGTCAGTACAGTGACAAGCCTTTGGAGATCTCGCGTCTCTCTCTTTTTTATAGGATGTCAGATCCTGTTCCACTTCCTTGCCTCCTTGGCAAGATTCCACTTCATTGCACTAGGTCTATAAAAGGAGATGTAGTATTTGGTGACCTTTGGTACCAGTGGCATTGCCACTCAGGCCAAGGTTCTAAGGCCCAACCAAGTACCTTTGAGGATCAAGGTCTAACTGACCTTCAGGCTCTTGGCTCCGGAGAAGCCTTCGAGCATCTCATGATTTTTGCAGGACAGTATGACTAGGTTAGCAGACGAGGATGCTGAATGAACAGAATCTCTCTGAGCAGCAGAAATAGAAGCAACAGGAAGACTCTGATGGACTTTTGGACAACTTCCTGTGTGATTGAACTGGATTTGAACCTGCACATGGTAAATGAAATGGATCGTTTGTTTTGCATGAAGTGTCTTTTGGGAGTTTAAAGTTCTCTCTCCCATCACACTCTGCTGCTCCAAAATCCAGCCCAGGCCAAAATGGAGATGTTAAAGCTAGTGGAGTCATGTTTGCTCTCCATGATCATCAAAATATATCAATATGTCCGATGGCGCACGGGCTGCACGTAGGCTCCATGTTCTGCTGAAAGGGCTTGTTAGTGCAAATTGGAACAGGCAACGGGACCCAAATCTTAACTTCCAAAAATACCAGCTGCAGTGAAAATATATGCAAGAAAATTGATCTTGGGTGGATTCCTTCGTGCCCCTTGGGGATAAATTGGCACCATTACCAGGCTCCACTCAAGGGAGGTCTTGGAATGGAACAGCAGAGATTTTGAGTTATCTAATGGATGTGTATTGCAGGAAAACTAGCACCAGACTCACTTCTAGCCAGCGTACCTAGTAATTCCTCTTGAGTTGTACGTGCTACACCTAGTGTTCATGTTCTTAGAAGGGTCAGCGGCTAACCTCCAATGGATTTCAATAGGCCCCAATTCACACCAAGTTGTTGAACACAGAAACACACATTTTGGAACCTGAAATGTTATTACAGTGTTGCTAGCTCTTGTGGCTTTATGGTGAGTCTTGTGTGTAGGGTTGCCCACAGTCCCTTATTACAGGGGTTCACAGCCTTTTTCTTTCTGAGCCCCCCCAACATGCTATAAAAATTCCACAGCCCACCTGTGCCACAAATGTTTTTCTGCATATACAAGCCAGGGCCAGTGTTCTGGGTTAGCAAGCAAGGCAATTGCCCGGGGCCCCACACCACAGGGGACCCCATGAAACTAAGATGCTCAGGCTTTGAGGGGCCTCAGACTTCAGCCCTGCATGGTGGGGCTTTCGCTTTTTGCCGTGGGCCCCAGTGAGTCTAATACCGGCCCTGTTGGCAGCCCCTTAAAACCTGCTCATGGCCCCACAGGGGCTCCTGGTTGAGAACTACTACCTTATTACAAGGGATGCCCCTTAGTTTTTCATCTCTATACAACAAGATCAGGAGTTGCTGAGTGCTCCAAAAAGCAGGAATAAATACCCCTGGCAAACGTAGACAAGTACTGCTTATTATTAATTATAATAAAATAACAATAAATAATAATATCAGGAGGAAGGGTGGGGAGGGGGTGCTAAGAACACTTCTTTTGAAATACAATGTTGGCAACCCTACTTTTCCGAGATGTGTTGTTTTCCCTAAAGCCCTAGGTCCTGGAATCCTGTTACTATGTGGGAATCTCAACTTTTATTTTCTAAAAACATAGTTTCTAACCTTCATGGCTGCAGAGCACAGCCTAAACATGTGACCTGGGAGCTCCCTGAAGGTTCAGTAAGCAGCAGGTAAAGAAAAAGAACCACCACACTGACATGTTTTAAATCTCATGATTTTCAAGACAATCTCGTGATTTTGAGGGGGCCTGATTCAGGAGTTGAGAGCACTGGGGGGTTGACAATACTGTTAATAACTGATTCATGGAACCCACACCCCATCCCCTTGTAAACTGTAACTCCAGGGCAGCCTGGATTCTTACATTCCACTCAAAGCCCCCGACGGCGAGGCCCCCAGCTGCTCCTGTGCCTGCAAGGCCGATGAACAAGCCGCTGCCCACGTTGCTTGACATCAGCGAGGCTCCAATCTGAAACACACAGCACAGGCAGAGAATGCAGAGGGTCATTGCAAGTAGTTTCTAAGCAACATAAAGCACTTCCCTATGGCCTGGCCTGCTGTCACATCCGAGGCTGTTGTCTGATGGATTTTTTTTAAAGGATACGGTGCTTTGACTTATTAAAGTAATCTAACCTATGTGAGTCTGCCCCCTGGTGCTGGCCCTCATCTGGTCAGTTTTCATTCAGTCATTGACTTCAGTGGGAGTTTTCCCTTTGACAGACACCGCTGCGGAGTTGTCTTCATGAATTCTGAGGAGCTCAGATACGCCAGTGAGAGATACCATAGCAGTTACATAGGTAAACAGATGGATACGCTCCGAGCACAGATTCAGGATGGGGCCTGTTTGAAACAAGCACTTGTTTCCTTTTAAGTTTATGTATTGTAAACATGTAAATTATTGTGGAGCCTCTTTATGGCTCATTCCAATCTACGGGGATTCCATGAAGTGCGAGGAATCTCCCCATGCATTTATTGCTTTGCCCCTAGAGTATCGATGCAGGCTGCGGGACCTGCCCCAGACTCCGCTGCTCTCTCGTGATCCATCCCACTGGGGATCCCCTTCTTCCACTGCAGCCGCTGCCCTATGTGCCACCCCGACAAAGTGGGTGCGATGGAGTTGTGTTAACAGGGGTGTCCCCGGGCCACCTGTAAAGGGGGATCCCCAACCACAGCAGAGACCCCAAGGAAGGTGCAGCTCCAGGTGGTGGCATGTTTTCTGGATAAGGTCTACAAGCTTGGCGTGGGGAAGGTGCGTGTGTGAGAGCAATTTGCATCCTTAAGCTCCACCTACTTCTCCCTTGGCCTATTCAGTCCCCGCCCCCCTGTGCAGGTCCCGCCTCCCAGACTAGCAGAGTGGCTAGTTGCAATGTCTGGGGAACAGACTGGCGCCATGGCCATGTCTGAGATGCCCTACAGGGAGGGAAGGCCCCCTCCACGTGTGATCAGAGTTTAGCTATTGGTTTGTAAAGCGCTTTCAGCTTCAAAGTGTGACATAAATGCATCATGTGCCATGTATCCTCATGTGATCACTCCTCATGCTCTGTGCTCGGGGCATGACTCTGCTCCCCTTATTCGCAAGGTGCCCCATCAAACTGCAACCCAGCGGGAGTGATGGATTCAGAACTAAGGCCCACGTTTGTGAGTGCCTGTCAGGTTAGCAGGTGGTGGGCTGATACCACATCTGCAGGGCAGCACCGCTCGAGCTCCCTGGGTGGTCAGCAAGATAACCTGAGGGGTAGTTATAAAAATGTCCATTCAGCAGAAGTTGTGCACATCAAACAATCCTTCGCAGCCGGGGCCCTGGCTGGTGACAGCAGACACCGTGTCCCTGGGGCTCCTTTAAGCTCTGTTCCTTTCGTAACCCTTGGTTAGCAGAAAGGCTCACGTTTTACGAAGATCGGTGAAACTCAGGAGAATCTGATACACGGGGTGAAAAGGGAGGTGCTTGCGGGCAGAGCTTATCCAAATCTCCCTGCTCTGAGAATCTCACAAAATCAGGAGCTGCAGGGACTTTGCACTTTCCCCTGGAAATACTGTGAAACCAACCCCCTTTCTCCCAGTGGGCCAAATCCTGATGCCCTTACAGGCCCAGATCCCCCTGCCACAGTCAGATCCTCGCAGGGGATTGTGAGGGAGGAAATCTCTGTCAGGATCCCCTCACAGAAACCCCACCTCCCACAGCATTTCTCTTCCCTCTACCCTTATCCCCTCCAACAGACTGTGAAGGCCTGTCCCCAAACCTGGCAGCTCCCTCAGCTGAGATGCTTCTGCATTGGCCCTGGTGCCCCAGCCCAGCTTCCTGGTCACATGCCTCTATCGGAGCTGACAGAACAGAGAGTCCCCATTGTGCCCCAAAGGGAACCATGCCGAGAAGATGACACAGCTTCAGCCTTAAACTCCAAGGGGCTGGAGGGATGAAATTATGTGTAACCTCCCCACGGGTCCCCCCCATCTCCACCCTGTCCCTGCATGGCCCCCAAGCCCACACAGAGGCCATTGCAGGGTCTAGGATGGGGGTAGGGAGGAGATGGCACCAGGGAGGTGGCTGAAGGAATGATGGAGAGCCTCAACCAGAGTGTGCCCTCCATCTATGGGGCAGCTGAGGATCATCTGGGCCTTAGTTTTTCCTCAGGAAAACTCCAATTGACTTCTGACCAAGAAGGAATGGAGGTGACGTCCTGTCTACACCGAAGTGAATGGCAAAACTCCCCCTGATTTCAATGGGGACAATTGCCCCCGAGTAGTTATCATACCAGCATTCCCTCTGGGGTAGCCAGGAAGTGAAGATGTGCAAAAAGAAAACAAGAACTTTTGCATTTATAACCTGAGAGAATCCAGTGCCTTTCTATAGGCAAATATTTACACTCCAAGCCTGGACCTTGAGCTGTTCAAGAAACACTTACATGGAAAGAATGTCGCATGTATCTTAAAGAACGTGTGAGCCTGGGAAGGCTGCAACCCATGCATAAATGTGGGTTCTATAGATGGAAAACTGCTGCCGTCTGGAAAATGCTAACACCTCGGGTTAATTTTAACACCACCCCCAGCGTGGTCCAGTGATCCCTTAACTAGATGAAAACAAGGTACAGTGCTGTTCCCATAGGATAAAGCACCTCTGGTTTTAAGTATCACTCTCCTTTCAGACAAAGCTTTGCCATACCTCTACACAGGCCAAATTCATCCCAGGTGGCCACTGACATCAATGGAGATACACCAGGGATAAATCTGGCCGTGCGTTACCAATGCTTTGGCTTCCCTCCTACGGAAAGTTTGCTTTCCAACCACACCTTGTCTGAACAGCAGATTCCTAATATGCCACTGCTGAGCTCTGAGCAAAGAGTAATGGAGTTTGACCTGCTTCTCACCTTCTGAGACAGTTAAAATATTAATATTGCATGAAGCCGGAAGCTGTGGCCAGAATTAACACTGCTACCAGCCCTACTTCTCCATATAGTAAACTGCTGATTAAAAGGCTGACTGGGGTAATGTGAAATCATATCTTGAGTAAATATATTGACTCCCAAGAAATGTAAATACCTTCTCTAATACACACATCCGACCGTATCGGACACAGATGTAAGAAACACAGAAGCTGTAGAGCAGTGAGACAGTGGCTTTATTATTTATTCTGGTAGTGTCTGTGTCCAACTCACAGGAAGACACAGACACTCCAAGAAAAATAATCCTGAAGCCATGGAAATAGTTGTCTGCGGTTCCACAGCCCATCACGAGACCCTTGTCACAATTGTATTTACCCTACGGGTCTATAGCTTATCCCGGGGTGGGCAAACTTTTTGGCCCGAGGGCCACATCTGGGTATGGAAATTGAATGGTGGGTCATGAATGCTCATGAAATTGGGGTTCGGGTGCAGAAGGGGATGAGGGCTCTGGCTAGAGGTGCGGGCTCTGGGGTGGGGCTGGGGATGAGGGATTTGGGGTGTAGGAGGGTGCTCCAGACTGGGACCAAGGGGTTTGGAGGGGGTGAGGGGAATCAGGGCTGGGGTAGGAGGTGAGGGCTCTGGCTGGGGGTGCAGGCTCTGGGGCGGGGCTGGGGATGAGGAATTCAGGGCGCAGGAGGGGGATCAGGGCTGGGGCAGGGGGTTGGGGGCATGGCAGGGGGTCAGGGGTGCAGGCTCCGGGTGGCGCTTATCTCAAGCAACTCCCAGAAGCAGCGGCATGTCCCCCCTCCGGCTCCTATGTGGAGGCGTGGCCAGGCAGCTCTGCATGCTGTCCCATCCACAGGTGCCATCCCTGCAGCTCCCATTGGCCCAGTTCCCGGCCAATGGGAGCTGCGGGGGCAGCGCTTGGGGCAGAGGCAGCATGTGGAGCCCCTTAGATGCCCCTAAACGTAGGAGCCAGAGGGGGGACATGCCGCTGCTTGCTGGAGCCGCCGCTTGCGTGTGCGGAGCAGCCCCCGACCTGGCTTCTGGCTGGAGCAGGGCAAACCCCAGACCCTGCTCCCTAGCGGGAACTCGAGGGCCAGATTAAATTGGCTGGAGGGCCGGATGTGGCCGGCGGGCTGTAGTTTGCCCACCGCTGGTTTATCCTCAGACCCCACTCCAGCTTCCCTTAATGTCAATGGAGAAAAACTTCAGTGGGAGAGGGACCATGCCCTGTGTTACACACTAATGCAAAATCATGAGTAACATCATCAAACTCAATGGAGATACACTACGGGGGAGGGGAATCAGTGACAGAGGAAAGGCAGGTTCTGTAGGCCTGACTGCCTTCACTGAGGGTGGTTTTTACACAGAGAGGACTCCAGACTTCAGAGGAGTTACTCCTGATTTGTACTGGTGAAAGGGAACAAAAGCTATAGGCCAAAATCTGCAAATCTGGCTCCCTACCACCAGACTCCTACGGCTATGTTTAGACATCTAAATAAATGAGACTTGACCTTCAGGGTACCTGAAGCTCTCACCTCAGTCACAGAATCATAGAATATCAGGGTTGGAAGGGACCTCAGTCAATGGGGACTTCAGGGCCTCGAAGTCTCTGAAAAAGGCAGGCCACATTGATTTAAATGCCTGAATCTGGATTCAGGAGCCTCACTTTGGGTTGTTCGCCATTTTTCTTCCACCTTCAGGCTGTTGGCGATGAGATGGAAATACTGTACACGTATATGGGCTCTGTCAGATCAGGAGGGGAGATTAGTTCCAAAGTTGGGGGGTCATTAGTTCGAAATGCTGTTTGGCCAACCCTTTTGGTTAAACTGGAGGGGCTCTTGGCACCTCAGCTGATCTCAGCTGCTGTGGTATCACATGAGAGGCCTGCCTTGGAGACCATCTTTCAAGACCAAACCCATTAGGGTGTTATAGCTCGAAGCTGAAACCCTGAAGTTGCCAGAATGTTGCCACCCAAACTGGAATTTAGCTGGGACGCTGGGGTTAACCTCCCAACTCTTGCAAAGAGTGCTGGGATACTTAGGTTATCACAAGTGGTCAGAAGATGGCACCTTCAGCAGCAGAGCAGACCTCCTCCCATATTGCATCATATGTTTCCTTAGGCATCAGTGCTAAAACAGTCATAACTGGACTCAAGTGCAGCTCAGCGCCTCTGAGAATCAAGCCCAAAGAATCTCACGTTGGGCCCGGAAAACAGAAACAGGCAAACTCAGAGGGTGCTTTTGACCTAAACAACTTGCCAGAGAGTGAATCAGTAGGAGAGCCAAGACTGGAACCCAGCCCTCCTAGCACCCAAGCATGTGTTCTAACCACTGGGCCATATTACCTCCTGGAGTAGACCAGCCACCAGATGCAATGAAAAATAAGAAGAGTAAGGATCCTGGCAAAAGCCAGCTTCCTTCCAACATCTTTTAAACCTTCCACGCTCTAGTTATGGAAACACCCCCTATGCTTTTCCCTAAATGTCACCTGGGAGAAATTGGAGCATAAAGCACATTAAAGCAATAACAGCTGTTATATATACGTACGCCTCTCCGACAGAAGAGGCCTAGAGGATTTATGGGCACTGTGTATACAGAGAAAGAAGTTTTTGGTTGAAAACTGTATTCCGTTACCAGCGACTCACTGGAGAGAGATACAGCTGTATATTTTGCAATTGGATGAAAAGGCTATTTAGTCCAGTGACACCTTTATTCTTTTAAAACGTTGAAATTATGTTTAGGTGTGCCTTTCGCTCCCACGCAAGCGTGCCCTTTAAGAGCTTTATTCCTTTCTCGTGAATCATTTCGGAGATTTATTTTAGTCCTCACATAGTCAATAGCGTAGCCTTTCCCCCACCCGGGAAGGGTAGAGGCGAAGGGCTTTGCCATACGATTGTTTTCTTTGTCGTCTCTACGTGATGTTTACGGCATCGCGCAGACCTGAGTCATTTAATGCTCCCATGGCTGTTCTGCAGCTGTATGTGAAGTGAGTTGGGAACAGGGGGAGGACCTAAATCCAGCTCCGAATGGGCAGGTGGGGCTGTGTCATAGAAGCCACAGCACCAGGTAACCCGTTGCCTCTGACCTGAGCAAAAAAGCTAAGAACTGAAAAGACCAGGGAGACTGAACTGTCCGTTTCCTCCAGGTAGGGGTCTCTGTAGCTCAGGGCTTAGGCTCCTGGGCAGAGCTGTGGGGGGTGGGTACTCTGTGGTTGAGGGTCCCGATAGCTCAGGGCTGAGGCTTCTGGGCAGAGCTGTGGGGGGTGGGTACTGTGCCTGTCCCCAGACCTTTCTATCAGGTACCTGGATTTGCTTGAATCCCAATTTTGAAGTAACAAGTGGAAGCATCAGACTTACTGGCAACCACGTCATGGTCCGTCCAGCCAGGAAATACCCTCCAACTGTCCCCCGACTTGCCCGTATGGATGACTGAAAAACAGAAAAAACATTAAGTGCTTTTCCCCCCCACGGGTTCCCACCCATCACACTGGTCCTGCTCTCCAGTCGTCCTGCCAGCAATGTGCTGGGAGTCCTCCCAGTTCTGGGGGATGGGATAGCTCAGTGGTTTGAGCATTGGCCTGCTAAACCCAGGGTTGTGAGTTCAATCCTTGAGGGGGCCACTTGGGGATCTAGGGCAAAAATCAGTACTTGGTCCTGCTAGTGAAAGCAGGGGGCTGGACTTCATGACCTTTCAAGGTCCCTTCCAGTTCTAGGAGATGGGATGTCTCCATTAATTATTATTATTTTGCCCTCCGAGCTGCTGTTAGAATTGACTAACTCCCCGTATCCAGGTCATCCGGTGCTTTCTGGAGGATTCAATAAACCATTTTGCAGACGCTCGAGGTGCAGCGACAATAGTTAAAACAGGGAAAGAATGCACTGTACTCCAGCAAGTCCAGCGGGGTGAAACCTCGGGCTGTAGACCATCCATTCCTGGGACTCCAGAGAGCTCACCTTGTCGGAGACCCCAGACTGCGTCCCACAGTGTGCACATGAAGAGTTGCCCCATTCTAGGGGGAACTATGAGTAGAACAGAGCCTTAGGATGACCAATACTTCCTAAGCTTCCCATTGCACGGGAGAAACACACAGCTTGTCCCCTGCATGTTCCCAGCCAACGCTTCTGGCCAGCGAGAAGGGGAGTGCTTCCTGTTAGCCCATTATTAACACTAGCCTGAGCTAACAAGCCTCTCTGGCTTCTGAGCTGGGGGCCTGGTTGTTACTTTGCAAGTGGGAAAGCCCCTGGGTTTGTCAGGACATTGTACCCAGAAGTTACCGAGCAGCTGTGAGTTGTTGCTCCGCTCTGATTTGGGCACCACTCTCATCTGCATCTTGGAAGGCAGAATACGGAGCAGCTTTGGTCCTTGCTTGCAGCAGATGCATGGGGCACCGAAGACTGGGGGTGCGGAGTGATGGCCTAGCTCTTCCATTTTCCTTCTCCCCATTCCTAGGTATGTTGGCTGCCTGGCTTGGGTAGAAGCTGCCCTCTGGCTGGGTGATGGGGCTTCTGAATCCATTTAACAACCTCCCACTGAGTGCACATGTTAGGAGAACAAAACGACTTCCCCAGACAGGCCGCTGGGTCAAAGAAAATAGGGATCAACTAATAATCGTCTTTCCAAATTTTCCAATGCCCGATTCAGTCCTTTTCGCTTCATTCCCCCTCTTAGGCCAGAAAAGTCTCCCAGCTCGCCTTTCCGCAGCCATTCCACGGGGAGCCTCACCCCTTCTCCCCAGTCCATTATGGGATACTTAGCAATTCTGGCGGCAGTACCCTTCCCTCAGTGCTATTCAGGGATTGCAAGGAATGGAATCGGAGCTGCATGGCAGTGTGGGGGAAAGTGTTCCTACTCTCTACCCCCAGCATACCAGTCAAAGCCTCCTACTATCTGGCCCTACGAAAGTACTATGCACAAATAAAAAAGCAGGTGGATTATAAGCAGATATCTTTGCACACAGGAGAGGCCCATAGCTGATTATACACACTGTTTGTTTTCTGTCCCCTAACGGAAGCAAATCACTGAGCTCCTGGACTCACCCATATCCCAACGGCAAGGACGAAGACAAAATAGATGACGACAACAACGATGTCCACAACCTCGAAGGCAAAGTTCCTCTGGCCAGGCTGGCCAGGTGGCTCTGTGGTGGCCGGGGTGGGCTGGCTCATGGCTGCAAATGAACTGCTGATTGTCTCTCTCTCACACTGGACTTTGATGTACGTTTTCCTTCATTATTCTCCTTTAATAATTAACAGGGTTGGGAGAGTGTCAGAGGGGAAATCGAGAAACACAGGGTGGCAGATAACACTGTTGGCACACTGGCAATTGACAGATCCCGGTCTGCAGCATGCATAGGCATCCTGTACTGAGCCAGTCATCTCAGCCCTGCCTCGTAATCTGCCGAGCTAAGGACGGCAGGGTTTGGAAGGTGGCTCAGATAAGCCAGTTCAGGGAATCAGGATTAAAGGGACTTGAAAGACCTCAAATTAACAAATAAATGGACTTAGGACGTCACGTTTATTTTGGTGGGTACCAAACAGGAATCACTGCGAGAATAGGGGCTGGGGAAATATAATTGAACCTACAACATGCTGGGACTAGATCTTCCCACAACATACTTAGATTGGGGAAGCGGGCCAACTTTCTGCACTCTGAGATGCCATCACAATACATAGAATAAATTGTACAGGGCCTGTTCCTGACGAGGACTGCCAATTGTCTAATCACACAAACCCAAACATGCTGCGGTTGTTTGCGGGGGTGCGGGCTCTGGGAGGGAGTTTGGGTGTGGGAGGGGGCTCAGGGCTGGGGCAGGGGGGTCGGGGTGCGGGCTCTGGCAGGGAGGCACTTACCTAGGGAGGCTCCCGGGCGGCAACACAGCGGGGCTTAGGCAAGCTCACCGGCAGGCACCACCCCCACAGCTCCCATTGGCTGCAGTTCCTGGCCAATGGGAACTGCGGAGTCAGTGCTGGGGCAGCACGTGGAGACTCCCTGCCCCCCAGGGGCTGCAGGGACATGCGGGCTGCTTTTGGGAGCGGCACAGAGCCAGGGCAGGGAGGGAGCCTGTCTTAGCCCCGCTGCGCTGCCGGACTTTTAGCGGCCTAAAATCTCACTGATTGGCTTCTGTAGCCTCCGGGAGATAGGGCCTGATTCCAGGAGACCCCTGGCAAAACCGGGAGGGTTGGTGACCCTACTTCTGACTGCTGTTGAAGTGACATCGCCAACACTCATGATTCTATCCCCAGCTGCTGGAGTCCTGTGATTAAGTGAGAACAGCAGCGGTTATTATAAAAAAAGGACATTTCCCGCCATTGTGGCTGCAGAGAAAAGCTTGAAAACGTGACCCAAGGATGACTTATAGGCTCAAAAATTAGAAGGAAAATAAAGAGAACCCACGAGGTATTATTATTATTTTAAATTCATGATTTTAAAGGCAAGCTTATTTGTTGGGGGTGGTGGTGGACGGGACTGAAATGATATTTGAATGCTTGTGGTTGGCCTTTCCATTCTACGGGAGTTGGATCAGGCTCAGGGTCCTGACAGCTACAGGGTGCATATTTAAAACAGCCACGTAGGGTCCTACATTTAGCTTTAAAAAAAAAAACCCATCAACTTCTTTTTTAAAATAACTGGAAGGTGAAACAAAAACGTACCCCTGAGTGCTGCCGGCACGTATTCATACATGGCACAGTGCCACCTGGTGCATGAAGAAGAGAACAGAAAGTAGAATTGAATGAGAGTCCAGCACCTGTTACTTAGATAAACAAATTTCTTTCAGGCCCTTTATAAGCAAATAGTCTTGTTGGCAAATTCACCCAAGTTAATGAGACACCAACCTGAGGGCCTAACTACCTGCAGTCATTAAAAATCCCCTGGCACTGTTCTCCACAGCAGGGCCATACATCCTGGCCAATTTGCATGTTTACTTTTCCCTGCTTCCCCCTTGCAGTACAAATTAGGTTTGGGATTCAGCCTTTTTTCCTGCCTTAAACGGCTGTGTGTTGTTTTGATGTGTTGCGAAAAGCCGCAGAGTTCCACACCAGAACTAGCTGCATTTCAGCAGTGGGAAAAGTAGTATTATGATTATTGATTATTCGAGTGATTTCTGTGCAGTTTGCAAGGTGCTTCCTGATCTTTCAGGAGGAAAATTGCTATCTGTATGAATATAAGCTCTTAATTATGATTGTATTCTGCTACCTGACATCAAATCAAACAGCACATGGCGACCCCGGACCGCTCAATAAATTTCATTCCCATCAACAGG